CCAAAAAAAAAAAAAATAAATAAAAAAACAAACAAAAAAACCCAAAAACTATGTGTGTAAACTGATTTAAAAAGACTGCAGTTTTATAAATGTGAGCAAGGGTCCCCACAGTGTCCCACATGGGCCAAAGTGGAGCTATCACAGTTCTTTCTAGGTATAAAACCCCTCTTGTCTATCTTATACTTTTTCTCTCTTACATTACCCCATCCTCATCCTCTGGATGAAGAAGGTCTGAGTGAGCAGATGACCAAGTGGGGGAAAGGCCACTGGAACAGGATACTTGATTCTGTGGTATTGGAGGGAGAACAGCTCAGCACCAGGCTTACAAATTTAGATTTTATCCTATAATCAGTAGGATCCAGTGATCAAGAAATCTGAGATTAAAAAAGCAAAGTAGAATCTGTAAAATCCAGACTATCTGTAAAATGGTAGAAAATTCTGGAAAAATAACGTGGTTTCTTGAATAAAATGCATAGGGAAGAAAAGAACTGACTGAAGGGAAATACATAGATTGAAAGATTATGTGGATCATCTTGATTCAGACTAGCTACAAACTGATGTTTGGGGCTGGCAGATGGGTCCAAGGAAGTTCACTGACAAATCTGTCTACTTTTGTATATACTGAACAAACAAAAAAGTGAACAGGCAAAAAAAAAAAAAAAGTGAACAGTCAAACCAGAATTTGCCTAAAAAAGGGAAATATACATGAATTTTGTTTTGATAGGAGCCTGAGCAGGTAGAGTGTTTAAGTACTTGGCTGTAAACTGAAAGGGTAGTAGTTCAAATTCAGTAGTTGCTGAACTAGAGAAAGTTGTGGCAATTCTGCTTCTCTAAAAATTTACAGCACTGGAAATTCTGTGGGGTAGTTCATCAGAATCAACGTGACAATATAAGATTTTTATTTCTTTATAGCTTACCTGGTGAGGTGAAGCACTAAGTGGCATTGATTTAGGAAGGAGATTTCAAACTTCATACTTATTGAAACACAATGCTAATCTCTCAGCACTCCTCTCCCACTCTTTTATTCATCAATCTAGGAAGATTCCCCAACTTCTGCCTTTCTCTTCCCATGGAAACTCCCATAAAGCCAAGAGTCTGAATAAGCACCCAACACCAAAGCCTATGAAACAGGCATTATTTTTTCTTTTCTTCACAAGAGAAAATGGTCTTCAAAAGGATATTTGAGGCAACATGGCCCCAGGGATTACAGTTTTAATTTACTATGTAACAACATCTCATGGGCAAGTAATGTTAAAATGAGCAATGAGTATATTTCCTCCAAGGGACTGAGAAGACAATAGATGAATTTCACACAAAAGAGAATGACATCAAATCCTGAGTGATGGTTTCCTCAAAAAGGGAAAGAGAAGGGGTATGGAGTTACTAACTCATAAATTTTAATTCTTAATTTCACAATAATGGATTCTCAGGCATTTATTTTATTCCCTATACTGTTTTGTATACCTCAAATATTATACATAAAAAAGTCAATGTTTGCCAATTACTAGAATTTAGAACCTGCTCATCCTTCCCCTCTATTTTGTGATGTAATGAAAAAAACTTTAAACTCTCCTGTGATAGGCCAGAACTGGGCATACAACAACTAAAATAGCAGTTTACCTTTTGCCTTGCATTCTTTCTAAAAGCATAGCTAATTCCTAAACTAAATAAAAACTTTTCAATCTCTTTAAGCCATAATCAGATGCATTTTGAAAGAAATTGCCAAATGAGCTCTATTTTAAACAAGATGAGAGGTTAGTGAACTAGATATTTAATGTAGATGCTCTGCCTCCTTTGAACTAAAAGAGAACCCATTATTTATCTAAGAATAGAGTTACCCAGAAGGGAAGTGATTTAATCCAACAAATATTTTAGTGAGCATCTACTAAATGGTAAGTGAGCCAGTAAGTCAGGGAATATTTCTGTCCTTTGGATTTTACAGTTTAGTGAGAGGAACAGCAGTCTTACACTAGAAATAAAGACAAGAATGATACACAAAGAGAAGTAATCTCAGAGGGAATAAAAAATTAGAATGTAAGAAAATGAAAAGCTTGTTATCACTCCTCAAGTCTTTCTCAGAAAAATTTAGTGGTAAAATCGGTGCTATTAAAAAAACCTGTGAATCTGGTTTTAGAAAGAGTTATGGTATAGTATTCTAGGACAGGAATGCCATTAAGTTCTGTAAGGGACAAAATGAATGGTTACAGTTACAAAGAAGAAATGTGGTCGAATTCCTAGGTAGCTGTCAGTGTTTATAGGCTCCTGTCTAAAAAAAAATTCAATTTTTCCATATCCCTACTTGCACAATTTCCTATGAAAGGCTATAAAGGTATCAAAAATTATAGAAATACCTAAACTTTCTTCTCAGGTCTGAAAATTTGTGATCCCTTAGCCTCAGAATACAGAGAACTTAAAGGTCTTCATGCTCACCGCAATATATACCAAAGCGGAAAACAGCTAAGCAAGCAACAAGTCATTAAGGGGGAGAACAAGGGTGGGTGGGAATAGATTAAATCCTTTTACAAAAGGATACAAAATGAAGCCAAAGATTCTAAATGGACCAATGTTTCACTCACTGTTTAAAAGGGAGAGAGGGGAATATTCTCAATGATACAGAAGTGTTCCTAATCTATGCAAGCGTCCCTAAAGCTATGTAGTCACCTTTTAGGTGATTAAGACACATATCACCCTTGGTAGGTAAGAATTGCTTTCAGGGCTTAAACTTCTTGCCGGGGAAGGGCAAAGGGCTTGACTGGCGACGCCCAGACCGCCCCCGGAAGCCGCCCCACAAGCCCTTTAAGCAGGCGAGAGGCTTGCGGTCGGTCTGGCGCGAAAGGGGAGCAAAAGCCCATTCTCCCGCAGGAGGCCGTACAAATATGGCGTCGGCTCCACCCCAATGTGACTAAACTGGGGGACAGGAGTAACTTCCCAGATCTTCTCCACACCTCGGAATAGCGTGAAGGTGGGGCGGAAAGGAAGGCAGGCCACGGTGATCTGGGTATTCCGGGGGCCGCAGACAGGACCGAGGAAACTGGGCAGAGCAGAGTCGTGGTCCAGGCGACCGGGAGGCATTACCTTTATTCTTAGGCATGGCGGTGGATGCGGCCTTGGGGGGTCTCTGACCTTCTTCTGGGCGGCGGCGGTGGCGTTGGCACCGATTCCTCCAAGATGAGAAAGAGGTGAGTGAGGTGAACACGCAGGACTAGATGCAGACACGGGAGGACAGGCGGTGAGCGCGCGAGAACCTCACGACCGCGCTGTTACGAGATCTTGCGCCTACGCTCGGCGGCAGCAAATGGCGTCGCTGTTGCGTGCGTCTGTTTTCCCCGCCTCCCGCCGCAGGTTCAGCCCGCCCCTGGACTCCACAGCGCAGGCGTAGTTAAAGTGAGCGGGAGGAGTTAGGGGTAGGGAGGGGAGTGGGGGGTGAGAAGAGAGTAAGGGACCGAGCCTATGAGCAGGGGCGGGGTGAGGTAATAGTTAGGGCGGGGCCACGCGAGGTGCGTCACAGCTAAGGGCGGATTCAGGGATTCTGTACTGCTGACTGACCCAGACCTCTGCCGCTTTGTAGCAAAATCACGTCTCCTAGTTGAACAAGTTGCTGACTCATTAACTTTTATCTTCTTTGTTAGTTGTTTTAACACGATCCTTTATTCCTCCCATCCATCCAGATAATATTTGCAAGACGCTTGTTAACTATTTTTAAAGTATCTGTCTTCCCTACAAGGACCTTGGGTGACGCAGTGCCACTCCGTGGGAAAAAGATGTGGCAGCTTCCTAAAAAATTTATATTTGGCAGTATCAATGACTCTATGTCAATAAATTTAGTTCTTCCCTATGTAGACCCAGGGTAGTGCAGTGAACTTGCCTTTTGTTACTCACCATTAACAGGTTAGTGGTTAAAGCCACCCTTGGAAGAAAAACCTGACTTTGGAATACCCTGTAGAGCACAATTCTACTGTGAGACACAACTAGTCTTCTCTGCCTCAGTAAAAGGCCTACCAAGTAGACACTCTGTCTATGCTGTTAATAGTAAATACCAGCATTTAGCAGATATCTGGAATACACGTTTGGGTGCTCAATACATACATGGAGAGAGAGAGAGAGCAAACATTTAGGTTCAGTTGAAGTAGCACTTCTGAGCTGGTTCTGCTGGTCTAATGGAATAACTTCTAAGTACATTTATTTTGAGTAAATCACATTTCCAGGAATATGGGAATAGCTAGATGACAGAATAAAGAATAATCTAACAGTCGTTTTCAACCAATTGGTTTTGGCAGTGTCTGGAAACATTTCTGGCTGTGACAACTGGGAGAAAGTGCTATTAACAGTGCTATTGTTAGATGTCATCAAGTCAACTCATCTAGATACTAGATGGATTCACACAGTGACCAGAACCATGAGCTCAATCAAGCATATCAGAGATGGTGAGGATGGTGCAGGATAGAGCAAAGTGCATAGGGTCAACTACTTAGTCATAGTTGTGTATTTGACTCGATGGCACTTAACAACAAGAAGCCACCAGAGCACTCACATCTAGTGGCTGCTAAATGATGCTGCCTAATAGCCTAAAATTCTCGGAACAGCCCCTACCCTGATAGAATTTTCTGGCCCAACATGTCAAAAGTGTAAAGGCTGAGAAATCCAAGAACAAATACATGTCTTTTTTTTGTGTGTGAGAAAAATTTATATTTAGAATTAGCCCGCTGGACTGTTTAGATGACCCCAATTTTGTTGGCAACATTTAAAGCATCAGTCAGAAGCAAGTTGAACATAGGCCTTCTTCTCTCCATCAGGCCTAATCAATCAAAGTTTTGACCTTAGCCACATCAATGTCATAGAGCTTCTTTACAGCTTGTTTAATTTGGTGCTTATTGGCCTTGACATCCACAGTGAACACAAGTGTGTTGTTATCTTCTATCTTCCTCATGTCTGACTCAGTGGTCAAGGGAAATTTGATGATGGCATAGTGGTCAAGCTTGTTTCTCCTGGGGGCACTCTTCTGGGGGTATTTGGGCTGCCTTCAGAATCTCAGTGTCTTAGGCTGCTGGAAGGTGGGTGATGTGCAGATCTTTTTATATTGGCTGTGGATGCTCTTCAGGATGCCTTTCTGACCTTTAATACCTTTGCTTTGGCTTCTGCTTTGGGAGGGGCGGGGGCTTCCTTCTTCACTTTTGGTGCCATCTTCGTAGAATGGAACACACTTCTTTAGAAGTAAATTGAAAAATGACAGGGATTTAAGTTCTGGGATTCTCTTTTCATAGTCATATTTTGTAATTTATACAACTGAGGATGAAGTAATACTTATATAAAATATTTAAAGGCCAAATTATTATTAAGCTGGGCATATAGACAGAATTGGACAAACTCGGGTGCAAATCTAAACTCTACAACAACTTATTACTCTGTGATCCTGAACAAATATAAGCCTCAGTTTTCTTTTCTATAAATTGGGTGTAAGAACAGTACCTACTATTCTGAGCTGCTGAGGAAATTATATAATGCATTCAATGCTTAGCAGTCTTGTCTAGTACATGGTGAGTACAGTTGACCTTCCTTATCTTTAGTTTCATCCAACCTCAGACTGGGAAAAACATTCAAAGTAAGAGAAGCATTTAAAAATAGTCAAAGTAATCTCTTAAAGACTGAAAAAGGGAGTAAAGTATTATTTAACTACCATTTACATTGTATTAGGTAGTTGGAGACGATTTAAAGTTTATGGTAGGATGCACAAGGATTATACACAAACATACTATTTTAGATAAAATACCTGAACAAATGAGGATTTTTATATCCAAGAAGAGGCATGGTTCTTTGGAAGATACTTAGATACATGGCTTTAATTATTTATACTTGAAGTATCTAGAAGTCTGAATGATTAAAATAAAAAAAGTATCTGTCAATGACTCAGAAAATACAGAAATTAAAAAAGTATCAGTCTTCATTTTTTCGACTATTGGATGTTTTACACATCTGATCTGCAGTTATATGGAAGGTAGTGAGTCAGGTGGACAGCTGGAAGAAGAGTGAATGAGGTAGAGAGAAAAGGAAAGACAAAAGCCCTGATTGGGAGCCTGCTTGGCATATTTCAGAAACAGTAAGAAAGTAAGTATGACTAGAAAGCAAGCAGCCATGGCCAACAGGGAAACAACTGCGTTTGCTTGAACAAATCCACATAGGTTGCTAAGAACGTAGCTTATCCTTTAAATTTGAATCTAAAACTCATGCTAGTATGGGAAGAAAGGGACATTTTTGAGCTGGCATTCTCCATGAAAAGAAAGCTTCATATGTGCTTGGTATGTTTTGCATAATTCAATTTTGGTATTAGATAAGCTCTATTACTTATGTAAATCTAATTGGACAAATCCTTTGGGATAACCACAAGTACTCATGGAAACATTATTTTGCACTCGTTAACTCAGAAACATCCCTATCTTATGTTCTTAATCCAATCTCATCAGTTGATACTTTGGAAAGTGAATGATTTGGTATTATAGGGGATTAACCGTCATATACTTGAAATAAATCTGTTAAAAGGGACATACATGCATTTGTTTGAAACTTTATTATATAAATTTTCATTTCTTTTAAAGATTACAAAACCTGTTCTAGGACAGGAATACAAGCAATATTGTTCCAGGATGGTTCATGGATACATTGGAAAGAGCTTAGATTACACATTAATAGCATGATTTGAAAACGTCCCAGATTAGACTCTTAAGGAAAACAATTGAAAGTATTCAGTGATATATGATCCTTTACAAGCATTTCATAATGATGGCAGCAGTGCCAAGCATCTGATGCAATTTAACCACCAATAAAAGGTACAATACATATGAACTCATGATATGGTACCTTGGGCTTCTGGCATGCCTTACTGGAGAAACTAGTATAAAGTAAAATCATATATAATAGTAGAAAAATATTTGTGATTTTCTTTTTTAAAAACTGTTTAAGTAGATACCCACCCCGTTCCCACTCATGGCCAAAAATGCAAAATCATCACATCCCCCAGGTGTACACTTCCCTTTTGTTTAGGGTAGGAGTTAAGATAAGCCTAATTAATGCACATAATTGTAAGAGTAAAAACCCATAGTCATTAAAGGATGCTAAGGGCATGGCAATACCTTGAAGCTTTTTCAAATATTTAAAAAGTAAAGCTTTAGATAACAGACTACACTTGTAGAAACACAATCCGAATTCTTTATCCGTATGCCCTTTGTTTTGTATTTAAATACTTACATTTGGAAAACTCAGTATATGGTTGAATCAGTATAATAGTGACACTAGGAGTATAGATCTTCACTTTCATTAGATACTGAACTAATCTACTTCAAGAGGACCATTATTCTCATGTGTTTACAGACTATTCAATTGGTATGTATTCTAAAAAATATTTTCTTGAGGTTCTCACCTTTGGACTTAGTCTCTAAATCCTTTCCACTAATCTCTATTCAATGTCATATACTTTGCACATTGCTCTGCGAGCACTCATGGAAATGGAAACAGCTTATGTATTTCAAGGTTATATCATGTATTTCAAGGTTATATAGCAAAACAATGAGGAAAGTGCCTTCAGAGGTAGGAGGTAGGCTCTCATCCCAACCCTTGGTATGCCCTGTTGTGAACAGTTAAAAGACTGGAATCAAAGTGGTAAATGTGAAATTGATAGGAATCGGGTAAGAAAACTAAGCCGACTTTGTTATTAGAATTGAGAACACTCAGTCACTTTGGAACCAGTTACAAGTCACTAGATCACACAGAATACAGCAGTGTAAAAAATACATGAAACATTGCAGATAAAAATTCTTCTTGGCCACCCTTATTTAGATATTATCATTTTGTACTCTCCACTGGGAAATGTGGTTAAGTGACTGTGCAGAATCCTGTAGTTCCAAAAGAGCTAATTTCATTCTTTCATTAATTGGTCCCCACCACTGGTCATTTGAGAGACCAACAAATGCAAGCATTTTAGAGATACAGATGGTTTCTTTAAAGGAAATAAACAGTTAAGTCAACTTAGTATCTGTGGATTAAATAAGGCTCAACGTATACATACAGTTTAAGATTAGCCACACGGAGTTGGATCTTTTATAGGGATATAACACTAGGACTAGATTGGAACCTCCTGGTTTTTAAGCACCAAGGGTCAGCCATGCAACCTGCTTTATTTGTTAATCACATAAATTTTCTGACCCTTTTCATTCCTGAGATGTTTGTCCCAAGATCTTAAGTCTTAAATACTCAATGCCACAAATTCATTATGACATTCTCTCAAAAATATGGTTATACAAGCTGAAAACTTTAAGTTGTAGTTTTTAAAAAGCCAGGAAGTACACATCAAAGCCAGGACGAGATGAGTTTTGCTGGCCTCCATGGTTATTAAACATGTCTATCAAAAGGCCCCAAATGTTGGATGCTTTTCTGATCATCCATGCTGAACTCACCCCATCCCATTTTCTACTCAACTCATTGTGTCCCCGATTGAAGCCACCAATTGGGCTCTTTCCTGAGTTGAAGATATGTATACAGGTAACTGGTCAACTCCATCTCTTATGAACTACCAGGTCCCAAGCGCAGCCATTTCTTAAAAACTGATGGGAAATGGTTCAACCCCCTTTGAGCACAAGGCATGAGATGCAGAGCATCTCTGTTTCATACACACCAAACCCTCTCCATATACAAAGTGACTTTCTCTGCACTTGGCCAGCCTCATAGAATCTAAATTTTGTGCCTTGCTAAACTTTTTGAAAAAGACTTTTGTAACTATTGGTGGATAATTGAGTTCAAGTCAATTTTTTTTTTAAGTCAAGGCATCACTGTAAAGCAAAGGAGTGGAAATGAATTTTAAGAACCATCCCCCTGCCACTTACCTTACTTTCCCCATCATCATCACTTGAGAAGTAGACACAACAGTAATGGGAGCATAATTAGGAAATTCTAGGATGTGCCTTGGCTACATTAAATGCAAGCAACTTTTTATATTTTAGAGGACACTAAGAGGAAGTTTGTAAAAGTGACCTAGTTAATTCTTTCACAGTCAAAGATATTTAAGACAGTACTGAAATCACCTGGGAGCAGCCCCAGGAACTGACACAACCAATTGATGAAGGGTGGCGGGATGCAATGGCCTTACTATGCCAACTATAAGGACCTGGAATGACTGGACTTTGATAAATTAATGGAAAAGTTAACCCATCAAAAACACTACACTTGGAGCACTCTGTTGGCCAAGTGTGTTCCACTGTAAGTCCTAATCCTGGAATACCAGGGACAACAAATGAAATAAACTGAGGCAACAAGTGTTGTGTAATCATTTTCTCCAATTACTGATAGCTTGACTATATTAAGCAAGCAATATCTTTGAAAGCATTAATTTGTCATTAGAAGATTGTCCCAAGAAATGTACAATTTTAAACTTAAGATGAAACTAGCAGAAGGGTTTTTATGAGGGAGAGAAAAATAAGAAGGGAGAAGTATTCTCGTCTGTCTTAATTTTGGGTCTCAGGTTCTTTGAATGCAATGAAAAAGTTGGACCAGATAAATTGCAAGGTTTGGTATATATATGTGCCTGGTTTTAAAATACAATGATGGCTTAACTGATGGACAATACTGTATTTTCAGGGAAACACTTACCTTCCATGTTTGTTTGCCAACCGCTCTCTCCCTGCTGGAGGTATGTTTGTAAACATGCTATGGTTTTTGTTTTTTTTATACAGCAACACGAAAAAAGAAATTGGCATAGCAGCATGTTTATGAAAATAATGTCCCAGGGGAAAGGAGCAGGTAGCATACAAATATAGAGGGCACGTGCTAGTTGCCTAAAAATGCAGTAATTTCAGCACTTGCGGAGTACCGTTAGTGTCAAATACCTGAAAATGTCTCTGTGTGTGTGTGTGTGTGTGTGTGTGCTTGATTTATGCTAGCCTTTTAAAAGTGACAGCAATTTGACATGCTTTGAAAAACCGAAGGAAGAGAGGTGGAAGATCTTTCTTTCCAGGCAAAGGAAAGCAGCTTTAATAATCAGCATCCATATTCAAGAATTTAAAAAACTTTAGATCTTCTGATAACCCTTTTCCTATATGCTTGATTTCTCTGCAATACTACTTTTGTTACTCAAGCAAAGGAATGTTACATATAACCCCTCTTCTTTAATTATATAGAGGAAAAATTAAGTAATGACAATTGACCTCCAGCACTTACATATACTCTCAGGGGATGATTTTAAACTTCTGACAGGAAAAAAAGGTGTCTGATGTAAATGGTTTAAGCATGAGTAAGAAAGGATGTGTTTGGGCACATTCGTGATGAGGTAAATGAAACCTTCCTTCGTTATTGCTTCCTTGATTGTGTATCTTTCACATGGCATGACAAACTGATGCTTGGAAAACATAGAGATAATAATGGGCACAGAGGTTTCTTTAATCAAATATAGTTGTGGCAACTACCAAATTACATGTAGATGATGAAGACTTGTCATCTAAGCAGACTCAGAGACCATTATGAAAATTGATAATTCTGAAGTTAGAAGAAGCATCAGGAAGAATTCAGAAAGCACTCGATGATGAACATTCACTTCGCCTAGCTCAGCTATAATTTCAAATTAGAACAGATATTGCTTGATCAAGAAGGTTTTATTCCCTAGAACAATGAGGTTTAAATCCAATTTAATATAGAGGCGTGTGGCTTTTGTTACATTCAAATAATGTTTAATATAGAAGATCTATTTGAACATAAAATATTCCATGGCACCTCAAATTCCTGATGCTAAATTTTTCATCGCCAATTTATTCACCATGACCCTTAAAGACCCTTGATATATACTGGCAAAATTTCAAATAATATATCAAATACTAAGTAGGGATACTACTTAAAAGTGAAAGGACTACTTCCTTTAATCAAGGAAAAAAGAACCCTAAGAAGATGCAAAATATATGGACTAACTTCATAGGTGTACCCTTGATATCATGCCACACACATATGATAATGTTCCCTCCCCTACAGCTCTCTAGGTTAAGTCTGACAGAGCACCTGACTTTAAGAAACAAACAAACACACAACCAGTGAAACAGACATGGGGAAAGATATGTACATTTTGAAAGTATTACATTCAACAGCTGTTCCACAATCTGGCCATTTTTAGGGCTGTCCAACAATACTGTTAATCCAGGTGAACTATTTAACCAGATTTAATAGTTGATTGATTAATAATAATAGATTCCAAGTTAAACAAGGCATGTATACATTAAAGAAAGCAGTACAGAAATGTACTGTATATGAACTGTTTACAAAAACATACAAAATGTTGGATGGCACAAAGGATACAGTGCTAATGTAAACAGATTGTTTAAGCTAAATGCTTAACAGAAATGGTCCATCCCTATAACTAACAAAGAATATTTAAGGGACATAAAATATTTCCTATAAAAATAATGCTATATGGTGTAGAGTACTTTATTCAGTGTATTTTAGGTGGTATTCATATGTTCATTTTTCTTCTTGTTGATTCAGTGAATATATCTCCATCAGGTTTCCTTTTTCATTCCATCCGAAGCTCCAGGAAAATCTAACTTGCTAACAATCATTTAAAGCGAGAAGAGACAAAAGCAGGAGCAGCAGCAGGAGCAGCAGCATTATGGGTACCAGCTGGGACAGTGTGTGCTTGCAGGTGTCTCTCAGAAATGTGCTACCTGTCGCCAGAACTTGTGCTATCGGCTTACACCTTGGTACCAAACAACTTACTGAGGTCACTTCACAGAGCTGTTGAGGTGATTTTTTTAATACCTCTCCGCTGAGCAAGAGTGGAGCGGCCTACTGGTTCCAAAACTGGTGACTGGTTACGGTTTAAAGCAGAATATGTAGCTGCCATGGCACCCTAAAAATGGGGGAGGGAAAAGGAAACACCAAAAATGACATGACATACATGTATGCAAAATGCAGATCTCAGATAATTTTTTCAAATGTAAATTGACCTAGCTTAGACTTATAGTTAAAAATCACATTGTTCAAACCCTCAGATGGCAATAAAATTGCCAAAGCCAATGTGGGAGGTTGAAGTGACGCAGAAGAGAGGGAATATATATATATATATATATAGATATAAAAGTAAGTATTCACTCTAATTAAGGACAGAAAAGTCTGTGGATTGCCTCATTTTCTTTACACGCTTCTTGCTTGTGTATACCACAAAGCAGCCTCCTTGAGATTGTTAGCAATGACATTCCAAAAGAATAGGACTTCCTGCTTCTCATATTAAAGGTTTGTGAAAAAGAAAGGCGAGTCCTGAGAAAAGGAGAACTGCCTTCAGTAAGCCCACCCTGCCCTCTCTCCTGTGTCACTTCAACTTCCCTCATTGGCCTATGCAAGTTTATTGCCATCCGAGGGTTTGAGCAGTGTGATTTTAACTATAAGCCGCTGCTGCTGGCAGATTTCAACTCAGTAACCCTAGGGTAGAAGTGTCCATTAGTATCCCTAGGATTTGGATCCTTATGGAAGCTGACTGCCACATCTTCTCATGCACTGGCTGGTGAGTTAGCAAGTGAGCACTTAACTACTCTATCATCAGGCCTTCTTTTTCCTACTCTATTAAGTTAGTCCTATTACTGGTACTTGAGGGGAGCTCTAGTTGCCCGTCAAAAGGGGACTGCACTGCTAAGCTAAAGGTGGTCAGTTTGAACTGACCAGCAGTCCTCCCCTTCATGAGAAAGATGGGGAATCTCCTCTTGTTTGTGTGATTTATAGCCTCTGAAAAACCACTTGAGCCTCAACTATGAGCCAGCTCCAAATGGCAATGTGTCTTTGATTACTGGTACTCAGGTACTCCTGGATTTCTGTTCTAAATTACCCAGTGAAAGAGAAGCCCCAAGAGAAATGTATGTAAGGTGACAGGGCACGAAGAGTTTCACCGTTTGTCCTTGATACTGAATTAAGGAGACCACGCACCTTGACGAGGTGGGGTGCATCCTGTCTGTTGAGTTGGTACTGTGGCAGTTGGTCCCAGTGGACGATCCAGGGATGTCTGAGCACAAGGGCAGCAGTTAGTCGCTGATGAGGGTCTACATGAAGCATCTTTGACACCAAATCCTGTTAAAAGTCACAGTAATAAAACCTGTAAAATATGTTCTGTCGGTTTTTCTGTGGCACACATACTGTTCCCCATGTTTACTTAGCTTCACTGAATTGATTTCTTTTTTTAGGCATCAGGCCTTTTGGCTTAAAGCAAACAACAGAATAATTTGGTAAAAATAAGCACATCTACACTCTCCTTACTTAGCAATACAGTTAGATTCCAAAGACCAGGCTGCTTTTTTAAAATCAGCATTATGCAAAAAAAGAAGGATGATCACATCAGGCCATAAAACAAAAGAGGACTGTGTTATTAACTAACTGTCAAGTTCCATCATCAACTAACTACCATACCATTGGGAATCAAGCTCTAGCGTGTTTGGAAGCCAGACCTCAGGTGAGAGAGAATGTTAAGAGCTAAAGGGAGCACAATGTGGCTGCAGCATACATTGTAAAGGAGAATGAGGCCGCTGAGAGAGGACCAAAAGGTCCCTGTAAGCTATTAGAGCAATCTGTGGTTATTCTGCAGGCAAGAAAGCATTTTTAAGCAGTACAAATTTTTCTTTGGAACAAGTCACACTCCAAGGTAGAAGGGAAAGTGAGTTGCAGCAGGCAGGCCTGCAGACTAAATTGTAATAGACGTGGAGACAGGACAGTAACCAGGAAGGGTGGTAGAGCTGAACTGGTGTATTTAGGAGTCAAAATAGCACCAGTCAAAATAGCAAAATTTAACAGAACAGCAAGCAACAAATGCTGGCGAGGTTGTGGAGAAACTGGAACCCTGATTCACAGTTGGTGGGAGTGTAAAATGGTGCAACCCCTGTGGAAAGCAGTATGGCGCTTTCTCAAAAAGTTGCAAATAGAGATACCATTTGACCCAGCAATTCCACTACTGGGAATATACCCTGAAGAGACCATAGCTGACATCCAAGCAGATATATGCACACCCATGTTTATTGCCGCTTTGTTCACAATAGCAAGGAGTTGGAAACAACCTAAGTGCCCATCAACAAACGAATGGCTAGAGAAGCTGTGGTATATTCGCACAATGGAATACTATGCTGCATTAAAAAACAAGGAACTCATGCAATATTATTCAAAATGGTTGACTCTGGAGAACATTATGCTGAGTGAAATATCCCAGTCACAAAAGGACAAATATTACATGATGCCACTGTTGTAGAAGGGGACTGTCCTTGGGGTTGGGGAGAGACTGAGTAAGATGGGTTCAATAATGTATACTGCACTGAAACAGAGGAGGGAGAGAACCGTCTAAAAGAGAGATGTAACTGGGTATTTCTGTCATCACAGGAGACTAGAGCGAGGGCTGCATGGTGGAGGGGACCTGGGGGAGTGTTTGTAAAACAATGAAAGAATCTTTTCTTTTACTTTTCCATAATTTTTGGACTCATGTACTTATAACTTGTTAGTCAAATTTGTGTCTTCTAGGTTGCAACACCCCCATGATACATCTTGAAGGATATGTACATGTACAGCCAAGCACAATCAATAAGAGTGCATCTGAATTCCAAAATCAATCTCCATAATAGTCTATGTGTTTCCTACTGCCAAAGGGGCCCTTTAGAGTAGTGAGAGAAGATCTTCACCCTGAAACCCACAGCGTCCCTTTTCAGCAGGAAGTAGCTAAGAGAATACGCCGTCCCCTTTTCCTTATGACTCAGGGTGAAGTCTCTCTCAGGGAGGAGTGATAGGGAATGGCAAAGGACACACTGACAAAGAAGATTAATCAGAACTGGCTTTGACAAGCACTGTGGCATTTGGACAAGAACAAACTGGGAGGAGGGTAGAGAGAATAGTGCAACAATGAATGAGTGGAAGCCCAAAATCTCTGTAAATGTTTATGAAAATTAATAAAATATAATTATAGAAAGAAAAAAAAAAAAGGAGGAAGAACCGGCAATACACAGTGTATAACGGCGTAGTGGGGCCAGGGCAGATATTCCAAGCACTGCTCTGCTATGATTTATAGTATCTTACTTTCAATTGTAACCAAAAGCAGGAAGAATAATCTACTGAATAGAAATGAACAGCAAAAATTTAGGAAACGTCCCCTCAAATTCTCTAAAATTTGGAAAGGGCACAACAAACCTGTATTATACTTTTAAGTAAATCTGTATGTTAAACCAATGTACTTCCGGCCACGTCACTTAAAACCACTTCTCCGTCAACCACCCCTTTTCACTCTTTGTGTAATTTGATCAATGGCAGTGAACCTCAGAATTCTTTCCTTGGTTTTATTATCATTCTACCAAGATCATTCTCATCATGTTCATGGCCTGAACTATTAAAGAGAATAAAGATGCCAAAGTTTAATCTCTTCCTAAGACTTATCTCTTGAGAAGCTTTTCTAATAGTCAGCTCTTAATTATCACCCAAGAATCTGAATTTACAAAGTCCACAATGGCAATCACTGCTCATAGGAACTCTTTTGCATTCAATATCTTGGTAAACTGTACCACCTATTAATTCAAGGGGAAAATGTCAACTGCATGCATGACATCTGCTCCTTTGCTTTTAGGGCCAATACACTAAGTCTATTCTTCTTCCCCTAAATGTTTCTGCCCTTTGACTCAAATCTCAACTACAACAGCTCTTCATTCACGACCTAAAAATCACACAAGTAATACCCTAGATTAGGTTAATGAGAACTGACTGAAGAATAGTGGGAAGGAACAGTACTAGCATGGTACTCGACTCGAGTAAATGGTTAGCTATGGTCTGTTCAAGCCACTGGTTTCATTGATGACATTCACATCATGGTCTTGTGGGATGGTCTAAACAAGTTTACAAACCCACCTCCCAATTTTGTGGGTAAACATGATACCACATCCTACTGGTGATCACAAGACCTGAAACACTTGTTGTAGAAGATCTAAAACTACAGGCTTCAATATGGATTACATCTCAGCATCAAGAAAACAAAAATTCTCACCAATGGACCAATAAGTAACATCATGATAGATGGAGAAAAGGTTGAAGTTATAGAAGATTTCGTATTACTTGGATGTACACTCAACAATGCCAGCAGCTGCAGTCAAGACATCAAAAGATCTATTACACTGGGAAAATCTGCTGTCAAGGATCTCTCCAAAGTGGTGAAGAGTACAGTGTCAGTTTAAAGAATAAGATGTGCCTGATGCAAGCCATGATCCTTTTCATTGCTTGCTACACATCTGAAAGCTAGACAATGAATAAGGATGACAGTAGAAGAACTGATGTCTTTGAGTTGTGGAACTTGAAGAGCGATGAATATCCCATGTACTGACAAAAGAACTAACAAATACATCTTGGAGAAGGTGTAACAAGCTGTATTCATTTAGAGGCAGATGGTAAAACTTGGTGTTACATACTCTGGGCATGTTATCAAGAGGACTAAGTTGTTGGAAAAACTGGGAAAAGGTGGACAATCAGTGAGAAGATGACCCTCAATGAGATGGACTGACACTGTGACTGTAATAGTGAACTCAAGCACATTGGAGATGGCGCAAGGCTCTGATCTGTTCATAGGGTTGCTATGAGTAGTAGTTAACTTGACAGCACACCTCACAACCACAACAGCATCTTCACATATCTTTCTCATTCAAGTAAACATACTGAAATGCATGTGAATAGCAAGAAATCTACAGATAACTTGGTATCCTTACTCTAGAAGAAAAATGGTTTTGGAATCAGTGTAGAATCAGCTTGAAATGCCATGTCAATAATATTCCAGTTGTTGGTTTCCTTATATTAAATGGAGACATTGCTGGCTACCTTCAGTGTTGGTATAATGATAAAACGGGACAATTCAGCTCAAGTGTGAAGACTACCACCATTAATATTAATCACATTGGCAGTAATAAGTAGTTTTATATCTACAGACAATAAGGTCAAGAAAGATAAAGAAAAAAATTGCTCATTTTAACTCCACATCATTTACTTCACAAAATTAATTTATTCCTTTCACCAGTGATTACAAAAAAAATTACAGGGAGCTCTGGTGGCCTAGTGGCAAGAAGCTGCACTGCAATCCCAGAGGTACATGGTTCGAATCCACCAGATGCTCTGCCGGAGAAGGAGGAGCGATCTCCTCCTGTACCAGTCAGATCTGATTTGACGGTACACACACACAAAATAATTTAAAAAAAAAAAAATAAATTTTTTTTAAAAAATTACATTTTTAAAAACTTTTGACAGGAAGTCACACTCACCTTTGCTGTATCTGAAACAGAATTCCAATAACCACCACTGAGTGAGAATTTTCCACTACCTATTCGAGCCAGTATTTCTTCTGGGGTATCATCAGGACCATTTGCAAATGGAGTGTAACTAACATAATAAAGTGAAAATGTTAATGAGTAAATTATTTTTTGGTTGCTAATGTTTATGTTTATTTCCAATGCTCAAGTATTCTTAATAATTCAGAGTATTATCAAATTATTATTATTAATAAAGAATACATTTTAGAGAACCAATGATATAGCTGTAATTTTATCTAGTTAGATAATATTTTAAAAATAGAAAAATATAACACAGGGATTAAAATATCTTGATAATGTAAAAAAATCGTGATGACTACCATGCAACATAGCTGGGTGTTCCACTTACCCAGTGAGCATTGTATAGAGGAGGACACCAAGACTCCAGATATCACAAGCAGCATCGTAGCCTTGTCGTTTTAAAACCTAGAAAAGGAAAAATTAGCAAAATGTTGATAGCTATATAAGAAAAACACAAATAAAACACTATATTGTATTACCATATTAATCATATTCTAGAACCTCATGTGATTTTCTATAAATACGTAAGTTTTAATTTTGTACATAAACTGACATTAATCAAGTGGCAGGAATATAATAACTTATCAGGGGGAGGAATACAAACTAAATTGAAGATAAGTTAGAAATTTCATGGATTTATATTTTGTATGGTGCTACTGAAATTGTAACATAAAACAATCTTTTTAAGAATAAATTGTCATTGTTATATGCCATCAATTCAGAGGCTATAAATCACACAGGAGGAGTGCTCATCTCATGCAACAGCTGGTGCCTCTGGATTGGCAGTGCTTACCCCTACAAGCTCCTAAGGAGCTCCTTTGGAAACATACAGAACTTATAAACTGGTAGTCTATAAGTAGATTATAGCTGTGTAATCAGATTTACTCAATCATGTAATAATCACAAGATATAACCTATGGAAACAAACAAATAAAACTGTTTCCTGCCTTTGAGAAAATTAGGATCTGGCAGGGGAAAGACACATAGAAATAGTTAGCAATGGGATGTGATAGATACTATAACAAAATTATGCCTAAGTTGTTCTGAGTATAAACATGAGGGAGCAATTTCTTCTTGATACAAGGAGAGAGAAGAATTGAGGGCAGGCAAAAGGCAGTAGCATGCTTAGGGCTAGGCAAGTTCAGTAGGGTCAGCAAAAGAGAGACTGAAGGGCTTTGGTAAGAATTTTGTTAAGGAATTGTATTTTTTTTCCAAGGTAATCAGAGATCTTTAAAATATTAAACAAAGAAAGGAAAGCTGCTCAAGGTATAGAGGAAGTGCTGGAACAAGAAACTAAAGACAAGGACACCAAATAGGAAGGTAATTTCTACATGGAAGGCGGGGAGAGGATTGTCTACAGTATACAGAAAAAATAGCTGGAAGACATCAGGAAGACAAAATCTATAGATAAACCTGGAAGAACATAATATCAATTGGATATTTGGTGACAGGTTAGTTGTGGAGAAATGATGGGGGAAGGAGGATTTCAGTAGGACCTTAGAATTTGAACTTGGATGACTAATTGGCAGAGAAGAGTTGCTGATTTCTCAAAAAACAATTTAGAGGCAGGATTTGAAAGAAGAATGATCGAGGGAAGGAATACACCACGGCATAACAGTTATACGGTAACTTGGTGCTTGTTACTTGTAGCAAGCAGCTATATGGTAGCTTGAGTTAGCTAGATTAACCACCATGCTTGACCGCCACTGTGTGTCAGACTGGATAAATGACAAACAAGCAAAAACCTGTCCCATGTTAATTTCAATAACAAAATGCAGATTCCAGGAGGCTTTTAAAAGAAATACCATTTTTTTATCTAAAATATCTAATGCAGTTGCTATGTAATGATGGTGCTTTTGTGAGTTCCTTCCTTGAACAGTTTTATATCTAAAAAGTTTGGAACACACATAAGGAAAAAGGAAACTTTCTAACACAACTGTAATATTACCAGCTATTTTTATTTTTATTGTTGTGACCTATCTGGTTCACGGTGAATGCAGACACTCGATCCTGACTACCCAGCTGCAAATCTAGATCAGAATTCTCACCACATCCCTAGTTTCCTGTAAAATGCAACTGAAAGTATTCACTTCATACACTCACAAAATACTGTAAATGAGATGTGACAATTAAATCAGTTAATATATGTGCCTGACACACAAATGCACAGGAGGAAGATGTACAGTTTCCTCTTGTTGCAACTTACAGCCTCAGAAACCAAAAGGAGGGTCACTGAGTCGATGGCAGTGAGTTTGAGTCTGGCACCACAAATGATCATTTTTATTTCCAATTTCAGTTTTTTTTTTTTGATACAGTGAAGAAACTGTTAGAAGTTGGGTACTTATAAAAAAGGGTAGGTGGGTGACATCTAGTTTAGGGCAGTCACCTGTGGGGTGAGGATGAAAGCAGGGGCCAGGATGGTAATTCTGAACTAAAGGATACAAAGCAATTGGCACATCTAGTTTGGTTTCAGGTAGGAGATGACAGAATGAGCTCATTTCCATTTCACTGCACACACAGGCAAGCACAAATCTACTAGTGATAACTGACAGTGGGATTCTACCGAAGTGTGACTGTGCAGAAAGATAGATGTCACAGCAAGAGATGGATCACAGGCAGTAATGAACTAGTGACATAAGCAATTCCAACACAAGAGGAAAAGGGGCAGACATTTTCTTCAAATATTTGTTGAGTAACTCTTCATAAATAATATGACTTGTGATATTAAGTACACTATAGCAAATGAAACAAAATTTTTTTTTTTCGTACACTGAAATACTGCAGCCAAACTCTCATAGTTACCTCTGGTGCAACAAAATTTGCAGTGTAACATGGGGTCATAAGCAGACCGTTTTCAGCTCTGAGTTGTTTTGCAAAACCAAAATCACAAATTCTAATAGATTCAGGATTACCAGATTCATCCACATAAAGAATATTGCTGGGTTTCAAGTCTCTGTGAACCACCTAACAGAAACACAAAACCAAATTACATTAACAATACATATTCCCATTGCCAAAAGTCTTAGTCACAGACTGTCAAACAATAATCTCAAACAAGATGATGAATGCAATGCTATCTGTAACTATCCTCCCATTCTTAAATGCAGATAATAAAAAAATGCTGGAAATGTCAGCATAGCTCAGAGAAGGAGAGCAAGGAGGATGAGAAAGAAAGAACAGTGTTTATAGAATACCTAGTTCCAAGTTGTCTATTCATTCAGCAAATACTGAGTGAGAAATACATACATGCCAGAAAGAGCTGAAGATACCATGATGAGCCCATGTAAAATGTTAAGACTTACTCCTTGTGCATGAAGATATTCCACAGTTTTGGTTATAGTAAACAGGACAGCACTGGCTTCTCGTTCAGAGAAAAATTTCTGCCTAAGAATTTTATCCAGTAATTCACCACCTTTCATCAGCTCTGTTACAACATATACGTATTTTCCATCATCATATACCTGTAAAATTCAATGGTGAAATGTGAAAATGTTTATTTGTACTTTCATATGTTTTCAAAATAAAGTCTGCATATTAGCAGAACTCAAAACTCATCTGCTATTCAGACCATTTAAGTTATCACAACGAGGACAGATAGATAGATGTTTGCAAGCAATTTTATATACACAAGGACACTAAAATAGAAACTGCTGGGACTACTGAGCAATTATACCCTCTAACTGCTTTCTGTGACACTGAATTGAAAAAAATCAAAATCACTATGAACAGAGACTAAACTTATTTGCTCACACCCCTCTTCACAATCTCTCTCTTATCTACTGATGACAGCAGGAACTGTTTCAAAACACGCTTGTGTATTTATCTCGGATTGTCTGCATTTGTAGAACCTCTTTGTTTACTTACACATAATACGATGAATTATTCTGGTTTTGCTCACACTGGAAGACTAGTTCAGCACTAAGTAAGAGGATAAAGTTCCATCCAACCACAACTAGTGAACTTAGAAGGAAGACACAGAAGGCTTGCTGTATTTTGGGTCTGTATCCCAGGCAATCTAACTAAAATGACCCTTCCCTCCATTATGCTTCAGTCCTTTTTCATTTCTCGGTGTAGGGTTCCTAAAACCCTTCATTTAGCTCTATAATAAGGTGTCAGGTAGTTCGGCCCCATGTATGGAAAAAACAGGCATTTCCTTTCAAAGAGTTTATACCCCAATAGAGAAGAAGAAACATATATACAGAAGAGTAATAAAACATCAGAGATACTGTAATAAAAAGCATGGGTGAAAAAAAATAAAAAGAAAGCATGGGTGAAATTTTCAAGGCTTTGAAATAAAAGCAACAGCACAGATGATATAAAAAAAAAAATCCCTGACAGTTTAGGTAATTTCTGAGGCAAGGGTCAGAGACTTTGGTTGGTGTCTTTGAGGTTTTGTTAATTAAAGAGGCACTTAAATATAATAGCTTCATCTTTGAATGGGACCAAGTTTATCATGTTCAACACTAAGCAGGGATAAATTCATCTGAGGAAATTTTGAGGAGTTTTAAATTTAACTTCACAAAAATCTCAGAACTAAAAGGTACCTTAGAAGTATTGTCTTGGTTGGTCATGTGAGATACCCCATCTGCTACATAAGATTTTCAGCTTCTTGAGCACTAACAGCAGCTAAGGACTTACATTACCTATGGTGTTAACCTCCTTTGCCTGTAGATCAGACATGAGGAACATGGCGATTAAAAGTTACCTCAGGGAAAGGATGTCTTACTTATACTGGAGGTGATAATGGACAGGGCAGGCTTCCTGAAAGGGGCAATTAATTGACCAGGCAAAGAAGTTAAATTATTCCAATACAACAGCAACATGCACAGCAGAGCATGCATACGTGGTAAGTAGAGCATGCCTGGAGCATAGATAGGGTATGTGGATAAGTAGGGATGTGATGTTATGAAAATATGAACCGTAGGAAGGGAATTAACATAGGAAGATGTAGAGTATGTTTGACCCGTGTGGCAGTAATGTGGAAGACAGTTCATACAGAGGGAGATGAGTGAATCCTCACTAATAATGTTCAAGTAAAATCAGATAAAGGTACTAATGAAAGAAATACATTTCTTTTTGAATCAAAAGTAGAAAAGTACATAAATAGACTTCTCTTTATAAATTAAGGAGCTCTGCTGGCATTATATTATGTGGTGGGCTGTTCATCAATATATGGAAAGGTCAGTGGTTTGAATTCCACCAGCTGCTCTATGGCAGAAAGATGAGAGTCTCTTCCCACAAAGAACCACAGCCTTGGGGACTCAATAGGACAGTTCTACTCTGTCTTGAAGAGTCACTGAATTGGATTTGACTCTACAGTAGTGGTTTTGGTTTGAAGTTTCCATCAAGTTCTTTGTTGACATGTAAACAATCAAAAAGGAGTAAGATGATGGATCCAATGATCTACATTAGAGAAACTACTTACATCCTTCAGAGTAATAATGTTTGGATGCTGGCCATAACGAAGTAGGATTTCAATTTCTTCTGTTGGGTCTCTCTTGCTTTTATCAATAATCTAAAAGGTAGACATTTACAACAAAATTTCATGAACTACAGTTATAAATCTTAAGTGTTTACAGTAAGAGACCTCAAGTATTATCAATCACTTTTATTCTAGTATCTGGCGAGACCGTTTAATCAAAATTGTGAAAGCTGCTATAATATAGCTGGCAAGGCTGTAGCATAAATTCTATTTCATTAGTCACATCTCTACCAGCTGTCTCTCATGTAATTTTATTAGTAACCTAGAACTTAACAAGAACTAAACAGCCTAAATAAAAGGTATTAAAACAACACAGATTTCTTCTCTCCTGGAGTTTCACATATTTAGGAAGTCTAACCTTCTAACTCAACACAGATAATTAAGAGATAAATGTATCTATACCACCCCCAGTATCTTCTGTTTATGGAATTAACCAGACTTCCTTCAATAAAATGCTTCAATGAATTAGCCTAATAGTTATAAGCTACTTAGTATAAAAATTAATTAACAGTTAAATAGAACAAGCTTATTTTTGAAGCTAGTAAGAAAGCTATGCCGAAAACCACACCTACAATTTTACTTGGCTGGAATTAAGTTTAATTATTACAACAAAGCCCTTTAAAATACTAATGTAGTTTTCTAACCCTTTTACATCAGCTGCTTCTTAAAAAAAAGTCTTTTATTTGATGTTTTAAGTTAAAGCAATCCTGTATTTTAAAAAAGGACAACGCAAATTTTACTGTCATTTTATCCAATATAGTAGCCTTTGCAATTTTAAAATAGTCTATTTACTAATATAGACAAAAATATCCAAATAATGCTAGCAAACTGGGAACAAGCTTGCAACTCTCAAAAGGAGCCCAATTTTCAGAGCGGATTTAGCTATAGGACAGTTTAGAATTTGGAAAGGAGGGAAAACAAACATAGGTTACTCGGTGATGCAGAGGAGAGGCACACAGACAAATAGGTTCATTTGAGAGAGATGGTCCAGGACCAATCTTGTGAACACTAGAACACAATGGAGGTGCTTTGAATTTAGCAACATCTCTGATCTAAACTCAAAATATTTCTGTATTTGTACCCTTAAAATAGAGATGTCTTGTCATTAGAGTCCAGATGTTATGGGATTGTCTTTGTGCATTTATTTCAAGAATTATTTATTACAAGAATTCACAACAGTTAGAAGATACTCTCATGGGTACACTCCGCCTGGATTCTGTAATTCAAAAGAGACCTCCGGGTATTTCTCCGTGTTTCAGGAGGAGAGTTCCATCTTTAAATTGCCTATACATTAGATCTCTCTTTTTTATATTTTCTTGTTGTGTACTGTCGAATTGGATCCGACTGGCACAGGAGTAGATTGCCCCTCCTTCTCCAGAGGAGGATCTGGCAGATTTGAAGAGCATGCAACACTGGGACTGCAGTGCCATCTTCTTGCCACTAGGCCACCAGAGCTCCCTACATTATATCTTTTATGAAAACAGTCTGAAAATTTATATTTATCTCAACTTTTTTCTGTAAGAGTACTGAGCAGAGTAAAAAAAAATATTTTTTCCTCTTTTTTTTGGTACTTGCATGCAGGTCAGGATTACTAGTAACAATGTCATCTTCCCACAAATACTTATAAACTAGTTCTCTGGTTCAAAATAAGCTGAAGGCTTTAGACATCAATTGAAATAAGATGGGACATCAGAGGTTGCTAATGCAAAATATGACAGGGTAGAGTTGATTATTTGTTCACAGATATTCAAAGGTTTAAAAACTAAACTTCATTTTAGAGCCATGAGCTTTGGCTTCTTGGCTTAGCAAAATACTTGTGGTCATAAGACACTAAAATGGTTAATGAAACAAATTTTATGACAGTGGTTATTCTTTTTTAGATCACAGTTCTTTTGAAATTTGAAGTATGAGAATTTTGCCAGGAAAATGAGAAGATGAAAAGTCATATGCAGTTTTGAGGAATTCCCTGACCATTATAGGAGAGACTCTTTGAGAAGGAAAAGGTTAGACGGTGTCAGGAGAAGCTGGTATTGTCTCAGGTAAACGGCATGTGTGGCTACCTTAACATTCGTCCACAGGGAATCCATGGATCCAGGGAAAAAGGACAGAAAACATTTCTAATAAGAAGTGTATTTGTGAGTATAATTTTAAAATGGTACTGATATGTATGAAAGAGTCCTGATGGTATAACTGTTAAACATGCCAAAAGGTCAGTGGTTTGAGCCTGCTAGCTACTCTGTGAGAGGAGGAGAAGGCTGTGGAAAATCACAGGACAGTTCTTCCATTTTGTTGAGTCACTGTGAATTGACTTGAAAGGAGAAGATATATGAATAACAGTTTAAAATTTCATTTTAAATTTAAAAATATTTACTTACCTTCACTGCAAACTCCATGTTTGTGGCTTTATGTATACATCTCTTGCAAACAGAATAGGAGCCAACTCCAATATCTTCTTTGACTTCATATCCATCCGTAAATTGAATACTGTTCCTGTGCAGCTGCTACAAATAGTGACAGACTGATGAATCATGATAATGACTTTAATACATTTCAATAGAAGATTGGGTTACTCAGTTTGCACTGCTGAAGTTCAGTATAAATTTAAAATTAGTAACAAAAATTAAAATGAATCTTCATAGCCTTTATTCTTTTCTAATTACATTATTATAGACGTGTCTATAATAAAATGCACAAGAAAAAACATGCCTTTTAAAAAACTGTATTAAGAAGAAAAATTGATTCTAACAGAAAAAGCAAAGCTAACCGAGGAAGGGGAGAGTTTGGTTTCATTTCCATTCTATTGCTCAAAAGACTATAAGCCTTGAAAGTATCTTTACAAATGGTGAGAAGTTTGGAAATTTCTGGGAGAGAAAAGATTTTGGAGGATTCAGATTGGAAATATCTGGATTCTTGTCTCAGATGCACTGCCTGTAGACCAAAGAAACCATGACCCTGTGTTTCCACAGAAAGCAAAGGGGGGCGATGAAAGAAAATATCATACAAGAAAAATGGTAACACTTTGCCATTTCCATGTGAGGCACCAGAGTTTTAATCTTAAAACCTCTCTCACATTACTATACTGTAAAAAGGCAAACTATTCCAATATGAACTTTGCTTTTAAAAAGTGCTTAAACTGCTTTTGTAGAAAGAGAAAGTAGGATGACCAAGTCACACATACACACACAAAACCCTCAACAAAACTTCATTGTTAATACTTTACTACTAAGAGCAAACTTAAGCATAAAACCAATTCAATGCTTCAAAAGAAATCGGTTTTTCTCTATAATTGAAGGGGTGAATTTATCATTACATGACACTTGAATAAATCCAATGGGTTGTATCACTTCTGTTCCTATATTTCATTTACTAGTTCAATTTTAAGAGCTGCCTTGCAGAAAAAAGATAGGCAATTATCTCCCATACTATTAGAGTCTCTGAAAACTCACTGGAGGGTCAGTTATGAGATAGCATGTAACAGGACAATTTCTTGTTAAGATACCTAGAAACCTGTATTTACTTGTATCTTCTCCAGCGCTGACAAACACATAGAGGGCGCCTAAGTGCTAACCATAATCATTTTGTCCCATGATAATGCAGGATCCAAAAGACTAAGAACATAAAGCTGGGATAATTTCATAGACTTTGAAATCTTTTTCATATTTTGTCTTTATAAGGAAGATAACTATGTCCGGAGGGTGAAATCTGGCTCACTGCTAGCTTTCGTAAACAAAGTATTATTGGCACACAGGCATGCTGATTTGTTTATATTGTCTGTCTCTGCTTTTGTATCCATATCATTTCACTGTGCTTTGCAGCTATTGTAGGATTCACTTTTAACAAACTGACATTTTTTTGGGTAACATTATGGAGAGCAAGTCCACTAGCATTATTTTCCCAAAACATGCTCATTTTGTGCCTCTGTGTCATACTTTGTTAATTTTCACAGAATTACATAATTTTGTTAATGCTATTGTACACTAATTACCAAAGCAAAACTCATTCACTACCAGGGAGTCACTTCTCTCCATGGCAACCCTCCCTCCCTCAGGTTTTCAAAGCTGTAAATGTAAAGAGAAGCACATGAACTCATCTTTCTCCCTACGAGAGGCTTGTAGATTTAAACATTTAACATCATGGTTGGGAGTCTCAATACTTAGCCTACTATTTCATCAAGACTATGGCACATAACAACAACAGCAGTGATTTTTATACATCTTTTCTTTTCACTCATCTTAAGATTATTTAACAGACTACAATCTGTTGCTGTTGAGCTGACTATGACTCGTAACAACCCATGAAAACCTGTCCTATCCTGTGCCATTCTCATCATCTGTACCATGCTCAAACCTACTGCTGCAGTAAACTGTAAATAAAACTTTTATAGCACTTAGTTTTGAGACATCAAAGTCATGTAACTCACTTTAGTGAGGTATTTGTTGTTGTGTGCCACTGAGTCAGAAGTGACTCATAGCTTACCCTCCAGTTTTGAGAGGCAGTAAATTGCATGGAAGGAGAATGTTCATCCTCTCAGCAGCTGCTGCGTTAGAACCATGTGCCTTTGGGACTGCAGTGCAGCTTCTTACTACTAGGCCACAAGAGCTCCCTGCTCTATTCTGGTGGTCTGGAATCAAAACTATAACGTATCTGAGGTATATCTGCTATCTAACCCTTTATGAAAAAAGAATGCTGACTCCTGCGCAAAGGATTCAGGAAACCAAGACTTTGTAATCCATCATAGCTGAGATGACTGAAAAGATGAAACACCTATGCCTAGTAAACATTTGCAAGCACGAGAAGGGCTACACAAGGTGAGGATGATGACGTATATGAACTTCGTAAGCAAATCAATATATAATGAAAGTTTTTTAAATTAAAAGGATGACAATCTCAACTTCAATTTTAAATCAAACAGATACCCCAAGTTGGGGTCATATAGCTTTTCAGTAACAAATAAAATTAATTTCTCAGTGAAGTTAATTTGCATAAAATATATCTTAAGTTCCTCACATAAAAAGTCGGAAGATAAAATTATTATTCACACAATAAGCTATTGTCTTATAATAATGCAAATCTAAAGTTATTTAGATTGACTCACCTGAACAATTGAATGTACACCAACTGTCTGCATAGCCTGACTTTCATCATCTGACGTGATCGCAACAAAGCTAAATCCCCGGAAAAGCTGATGTGCATTAGCACTAGGTGGAATGCCAGGTGAATCTGAAAATAGTGAAACATTACTAAGAAGATTCCTTTCAAAGGTAACTGAGAGAAGAATTCAGTAATTCTTCAGTCAAAGTGCATTACATCCTCTTATTCAATTTGAAATTTCAAACCCCAAAATTTCACTGTCATTCTGATTCATGAGACCCTGGAAGACACAGAAGAACTGCCCCACAGGATTTCCATCTTTCTCCTTTGGAGTGGCTGGTGCGTTCAAACTGTCAACCTTGGAGTCAGCCATCCAATATTTACTGTACAATGCTATGAAGGTTCCTCCTCTATTTCTTTAACACCTCTTGCTGGCTGAGACACCTAATCTCTTAATGCCATCACAAATCTTAACACTCTAATTCTTCACAGCCTGGGGAGTAGGAAATAATTAAATTTAAAGAACACAGCAAATTGATACAATACTGGTTTACTGTTATTCTAAGGTAGTGCCGAACAACAGAACTCTCTGCCATGATGGAAAGTTTCTAATCTGTGCTATGGAATATGGTAGTCACTAACCACATGTGAGTATTTAGTTTTTTAAATATTTCTACTGTGACCAAAACCCTGAATTTTGAATTGAAACAGTATAGCTTGAAATGATAACCTCATTATGCTATGGCTCCTGGTTAGCACATGGATACAGGGCTGAGTAGAAAAGCAATTAAATTAGTGCAATCCTGTCAATACATAATGCTATAATTGAAAAATCTAAATCACATGATAAAAACTACCATGGTTAAAAGAAAAGTTATTTCATGGAAAATCATGATGTGGAGTCCTAACAAAAGGGAAATAGCAGGATAGAATATAAAATTATTCTGATTTTTTTCCTTCTTCTTGGATAAATGGTACTGAAGAAAACAAAGTAAAACATTATTACACACATTTAAATTCTACCTGACAAGTATGTGATAAAGTTTTGTCGATGGCCTTGGTTTCTGAAACTCAATTTATACCAAATAATTGGGGGTTGGGTACACCTAAACGAGAGAGCACTGTATTTTTTTCAATTAAATTTTATTAATTTTAACGAACATTTACAGAGATTGTGGGTTCATTCATTGTTGCACTATTTTCTCTACCCTCCTCCCCAGTTCGTTCCTCTTCCCCCCCCGAAAGTCTGTTTTAATTGTCCAATTGCCACAGTGCTTGTTAAAGCCAGTTCTGATTAATCTCCTTTGTCAGTGTGTCCCTTGCCATTCCCTATCTCTCCTCCCTGAGAGAGACTTCACCCTGATTCACAAGGAAAAGGGGACGGCGTATTCTCTTAGCTACTTCCTGCTGAAAAGGGACGCTGTAGGTTTCAGGGGAGATCACTGTATTTAAGACAGAACAGACACATGCAAACGTCATTATGCACACGTCCACCAAAACCCCAGTTTCCAAGGTTGTAAATTTGTCTGAAAGCAAACTGCCTCATCTTTCCCCTACAAATTGTATGGTGGGTTCAGATGGTATTTTCAAACATTGGACTTTTATATAGTCAGTACTTAACTCACTACATCACCAAGACTCATTTGTTCACTCTCTTTTACACCCCCCCCCCAATTAATGAAATACAAGGTTACTATTTCAAAGACAGTTATCCTATAATTCACTGGTTACACAATTTTAAAATCAAGCAAGACAGGATATGATTCATTTTAAAGCTGTCACATCTCATATAAATTTTGTATGTTGGGATTTGATCTCACAAGTACTTCCAGAATGCCACCTGTAATTAGAGCTTCAAAGAGCACTGCTGTTGTTCAGTAGCATCAAGGATGCCCACAACTCAATAGAATCCCTAGGAACAGACAGAAACCTTGCCCTGTCCTGCAGCATCCCCATGCTAAAGCCCACTGGTGCTGTCACTGTGTCTGTCCATCACATTGAGAGTCATCTTCTTTCCCTGAACTTCTATTAAAGTGTGTTTAATGTAAAAACAGGTACAGGTAAATACATTTGCAAAGTAATTTTCTCCACCTAAGTGATATACAAGATAACTAAGGTATTACACTGTTTAGCTACAAAATGATATACAAATATATACATATACATTAAACACATATACATATATGTACTTTAAACACATATACATATATGTACTTATGTATGTACATGGTTGCATATTTTTCATTTCTCTTTACCTTTGGGAGTTTTTGCAGTAAATTCAGGATCAAAATAGAATGTATCTTCAGGTCTGCCAGTTGCAGGTTTAAAAGGTGGATGAATTTCTCTTCTGTATAGTTTCTGAAAATGAAAAGAAAGTCTTGTACATGTGTGAATTATAAACAAATATTTTAAGCAAGTTTTTAGACTATACTTACATTCCAGTCTATCGTGGAGAAAAATGAATGTCTTTTAATTTCTTCAACTCCATCTGGTCCTGCGCCTAAAGAACATTAAGTAGTTGTGATTAAGTAATTATATTTTATTTTACTATTTAATAATCCCACAACAAAATCAAGCATTCACCTACTTCACATCAAATAAAACACTGACAAACACAAAAAAGACACATAAAATTAAAAGAAATACCTAATCTGTTAGCAGGATTTCGCTTGAAAAGCATTCGCAAAAGACTCTGCGCTTCAGGACTCAAAAACTGTGGCATTCCAAGTTTGGCTCTAAATAACAAACCCACAGAAGACAACGTTAAATTCTGAAAGTAGCTCTACTTTTATTTTTAAAATTAAACATTTTGTTTTGAGATAATCATGTATCTGTTTGTAATAAATAATATACAGAGAGCTTAAAGCCCTTTACTCAGTTTGTCCCAACAGGGAATAGCTTATAGAACTATAGTATCATAAGTAGGACATTGAGAATGCACTGATTTCACTAGGATGTCCCCAGTTTCCACTGGACTTATGCATACGCGTATATTCCATATTAGTCACTAATCAAAATACTCAACATTTCACCACCAGGATCCCACACATTGGCCTCTTCTTCCTCCCTCCCCTATTCCTTGTTGTTGGTAGATATCATTAGTTGTTTCCAAATTCATTGTGACTCTATGTGCAACCAAACACTGCTGAATCCTGTAACAGTCTATGTTAGAGATCACTGTTGGAGCCACTGTGTCAATCTATCTCACTGAGACTTGACACGGATTGTGTTCCCCAAAATATACGTCAACTTAACTGGGTCATGATTCCCCAAGCTTTGGCAGTTATACAACAACGTAGTTGTATCTCATGATGTATTTAGCAAAATCAGATATAAAGGGTGGGATACAACAAAGAGGAATTTCCAAAAATTTAAGTTCGATTCCGTAGATATCTGAGATAAGGAACATCTTCAGTGAAATCACAATACATCTGAAAGAAGACACTATAAGGAAGATACTACTCAGATAAGAGCCCTCATTCATTGTCCTAGGGTTGCCCTCGGTCACTTTTTTTAAAAAAAAAAATCTTTTGTTGGTTTGTTTATTTGTATATTCATATATATTGGTTTGTGTACATGCACTTTGTGTTTTAGACAATCATTCGTATACATTATATATAATTAAACACTTTATCTTAAAAGAGCAGAGATGGAGAAGCCCAGACCAAAGAAAAAGGGCTGAGCCAGGAGCAAAGCCACACCTTTGGATTGGGGGGGGGGGTTCCTGGACCTCGGGGAAGACTCATATCAAGACAACAGAGATCTCCAAGGAATGCCAGGTTCACAGACGTTGAAAGGAGACAAAGACCGTCCTTCAGCAGCAAAGAAAAGAGAAGATTTCCCCTACAGCTGGTGCTCTGAATTAGGTTTTTAATTTCCTGAACCACAATAGAGTAAAGGTAATTATTTGATATTTTCTGTTGTAGCACCAGATAACGAAGACAAGGGTTTCCTCCTTTTGGTCACTATTACACTAAGTGCTCTCCTCCGGAACTAGGCTCTCCTGATAACACATACAAAGTACGGAAGATCAAGTCTTGCCATCCTTGTTTCCAAGAAGCATTCTGGATTTAATTCTTTCCAGGCAGAGTTGTTCATTCCTGTTCTTGAAGTTTATTCAATATTTTTTACCAAAACCCAATTCTAGGATGTCAATTTTTCTTCAGTCTTCCTTATTCAGTGCCCATCTTTTTTCATGTGTATGAATTAAAAGTACCACAAGATTAAGGCCAGGTGGACTTTAGTTTTCAATATCATGTTCTGTGAAATTCCTTCATCTCCCCCTTTTTTGAAAAAAACTGGGATGTCGTTTTCTGACTGCTTTAATATAATTATTGATATAGTCTGGACATAAGCCCTTTTTAGGTTATATATGTCACAAACTACTTACTCTCTTAAAGGAATCTTTTTATGACAAGTAGTCATAATTCTATTTCCTTCTTTTTAATTAGTGTATCCTATTTAATTTTTACTTTTGCATCCTATTTAAACCCTCTTTCCCTAGACTAAGATTATGAAGATATTCTCCTTCGGAGTCTTTAACTTTACATAGGTTTTCAATACCTGAGGAAATAGTCTTTGGGGATGGTATAAGAAAGGAATTATTTTACTTTTTCTATACAAATATTCTGAAGTTTTGTCTGACATACTTTGGGCATGTTGCAAGGATGGATCAGTCCCTGGAGACGGACATTATGTTTGGGAGAGAGGAGGGACAGTGCAGGAGACAAAGATGAGATGGATCGATTCAGTGACTGGGGTGATGGGAGTAGGTGTGTTGGAGACAATGAGATTGGCACAGAATAGAGGAGGGTTTAGGGCTCTTGTACATGGGGACATCACTATGAATCACAAGCAACTCGACAGCACATAACAACAACAACATACAAATATTTCAAATTTCCAGAATGATTTATAAAAAAGGTTGTCCTTACCCTACCATTCTGTAATTCTCAATGGTCTTAAATCATGCCTACATGAAGCAAACATATCTTTGATACCAAAGCCAGGAAAAGACAGCACCAAAATAGAAAACTATAGGCCAATATCTCTCATGAATATTGATGCAAAAATCC